AGGATTACAGCATGTTTATGAAGATACCTAGCACAGGTCTCCCTCTTTTTTCACTAGCAATCTGGGGGGACGGGTGGAAAATAGTGATGGATCTTGGCTGAAACCCCCCCCCCCCCCCGCCCTACTGTCTTAAAGTATACAGCTTTCTCTTCTCAGCTTTCTTCTTTGGCAAAACCTAGAAAGCTACTCTTCCATGAGTTCTTGAGTGCTTTGCTCATCCACCTTGCATACACACATGCGGCGGCGGCGAAGGCAGCACTGCCTGGGCAGGGTGCCAGCTGCTCTGCTCATCCTGAAAGCCTGGTGCATCAAGACTGTTGTTTCTGATCTGCTCCCCGTGTTTGCCTCTGTCCACAGAGCTGTGCTAAACTCCCAGAGGCTACCTGCAGCCGCCTCAGTAGCCAGATGTTCTGAAAGTCATAGGGAGGCAGCACTAGCAAGACCACACAGAAGTTTAATGTGCTGTTTTGTTTATGTTAATAAGGGAAACATTTCTTCTGAGGTTGTGCTTTTCTAATTAAAATAAATTCTTTCCACTTCTTTTTTTTTTTTTTTTTTTTTTTGGTTGTTGTTGCTCATGAGGCTTGAACTTTGGGCCTGGGCTCTGTCCTGAGCTCTTCAGCATTCTGCCACTTGAACCACAGTGCCACTTCTGGTTTTCTGGTGGTTAATTATAGAGATAAGAGTCTCACGGACTTTCCTGCCTCGGCTGGCTTTGAACCACAATCCTCAGATCTCAGCTTCCTGAGTATTACAGGATTACAGGCATGAAACACCAATGCCCAGCTTCTTTAAGAAATCTTACCCTAAATTGGGCACTGGTGGCTCAGGTAGGCAATCCTAGCTACTTAATCTGAGGATCCTAGTTTGAAACTATCTTGGGTTAAAAAAAAAGTCTCCAGGGCTAGGAAGGTGGCTCAGTGGTAGAGCGCTTGCCTTGCATGCTCAAGGCCCTGGGTTCGATTCCTCAGCACCACATAAGCAAAAAGAAAAAAGCCGGAAGTGGCGCTGTGGCTCAAGTGGTAGAGTGCTAGCCTTGAGCTGAAGAGCTGAGGGACAGTGCCCAGGCCCAGAGTTCAGGCCCCACGACCTACAAAAAAAAAAAAAAAAGTCTCCAGACTCTTATCTCCAGTTAACCACCAAAAAGCCAGAAGTGCCAGAAATAGAGGTGTGGCTCAAGTGGTAGAGCACCAGTCTTGAGCAAAAAAGAGCCCAAGGCCCTGAGTTCAGCCCCAGTACTGGCACAAAAGAACAGAAGAGGGAGGATGAAACACTACCCTAAATTTTCATAAGCAATGGAGGTCCTCCCATGAGAGGAGGAGACATAGAGGAGAAGGTTATGGAGGGAGACTCCACACCAGAGCTCTCCACTAACAGCCTGTCCTCTACTCCGGTTCCCAGACTAGTGCAGCCAGCTGGAGTATAATTGCCAGCCAAGGGTTGTTGTCTCTGTGTGAACTCTCAGTGGCATCCCAAGGGGCTGTGCCATAGGAACCTCAGTGTGGTCTCATTCACTCAGCACGAGGTCTGGAAGGCAAGGCTGATAACCCAGGTGGCCTTGGAGTTTCAAGCAGTTGAACATTAGGCTTATGAATAACCCTAGACTGGTCTCTGGTGCTTCTTCTGCCAAGTTTCTTCTTCTTCCTCCTCCTCCTCCTTTTTGAGGTATGGGGATTTGAACTTAGGGCATCATTTCTGCCAGGCAGGTGCTATGCCATTTGAGCCAAGCCTCCAGCCCTTTTTACTTGGTCTATCCATTGAGTAGTGCCCAAGCCAGCCTAGACCATGGTCCTTCTGTTTATGCTTCCCTTGTAGGTAAGATAACAGGCTTACACCACAGTGCTCAATTTTATATTGGTTGAGATGAGATCTCGTGAACTTTTTGCTCCAACTAGCCTTGAACCTCAACCCTCCTAATCTCTGACTTCTGAGTAGCTAGGAATACAGGTATGAGCCATCCCAAGTTTCCTTCTAATTGTGCTATTGATTTATTTTTTTTTAGCTGATCAGTAATTTACATTGCCTTCAAGGAAGAAAAAGCCCTGAGCTAACAGCAGATAACTGCCATTCCACTGACGTGCAAGGTCAACCTGGGATAGTTGCTTCCTTTCCACATCTTTTTTAATGTCATGCACCAATTGCAACAAATCAGACTTTAGAATTCCCAGTTAATAGGGTGGAGTAGTCAGAGTCCTGGAGTGAAGGACAGTTGGTTTCAACAGGTGTGCCAGCCTGTCTGCCATGTGTACCAGGTGTTGTACAGTGTACTTTCCCACCAGATAACTAGCACCCCAGCTCCTCTTCAGAAGAGAAGAGGTATTCTGAGCAGAAAGACCAGCCATGCAAAGCAGCACTCACAGTAATACTGTAGCTATTCTTAGCCCTAGCACAGGACCATCTCAGAGAAATGAAGCATTTGCTGCACGTCTACACACAGTGCAACCCATAAGGGCAGTCGGAACTAAAACAGGTTTGTCTGAACCCAAAGCCCACTTTGTCACTTTCAGAAAATTAAGTGGCTTCTTGAGATGGGAATGCAGGGACTGGGGGATGGAGGGTGGCCAGGGTGAGACAGGGGTAGCAGGGATGGCAGAGGCTGTGAACCACATTAAAGAGTGGAGACTTTAAACAGGGTGGGGTGAGTCACTGAGGGGTTTACGGAGGGAAGGGCATGGTCAGATGTGTATAAGAAAGATCACATTGCCTGCATGAGGATGGATTAGAGGGAGAGAGCAGGACAGACTTGTAATAATCCAAACAAAAGGTGATGACTCACGATGGCTGCTGCCGAATGAAGGAAAGTAGATGCTTAGAGAACAAGACGGGCCATGGGGTGGAGTTCAAGAGGCCCAGGCCGGAGGGGTGACTTTCCAGGGCCGTGGGAGCTCAGGATTTGGGTGAAGTCATCTAGTGAGTAGTGTGGGGAGAAGTGAAGGTCAGGCTGGGGTGTATGGCCCCTCCCAGCACAAGTAGACCAGCGCTTGCCTGCCAGCTGGCTGGTGGCCTGGGGGTCCGGGCTGGGACCATTCACTTGGGCCAGGGGAGGCAGATTGAGTGATTTGTCCGGCAATGAGGGAGGAGCCAGATGAAGTCAATAGAAAACTAATTTTCTTTTCTGCTGGAAGAAATGAGGTGTGTGGCCGCTGGGTAATTGCAGATAACGAGGGGACTTATTCTTAATATGCACAGTGGCTATGGTCCCCAGAGTACAGGAGACAGGAAGGATGGGAGCTGCCCTGACAGGGCTAGGCTTATTTGGGAAGAGAATTCTTGTCATTGCCCCTCCAGTGGTTCACGGCATCTCCGCCCCGTTGTGAGCCACCTCCCCACTCCCTGGGCTCCTTCCTGTCCTGTTCCCATCAGCTGCCCAGCTCCTCCTGCCGCATCCCCTCTCTCCTCTACCCTCTCCCCCCACAGCTCGGGCATACACACTAAGGGAGACAAATGACAGAGCCTCAGCTGAGCGGGGCCCGTGTCCGGCCCATAAAGCACGGGGATGGGTCACGTCTGGAGTTGCCATGGCCGCCACTACCCACCCATCTGTCTTCTCACCATTCTGCCTTGTGGCCTCCCGAATCCCTGGGGGAACAAGGTGTCACCCTCCCACACCCCCTGAGACCTCAGGCACACACATGTTGCGCTTCGTGACACAAGAGCCCCATCTGACTTTTTGCTAGTTTCTGGGCTGACTAGAACAGGTTTGTCTGAGTCCAGGTGTGGGGCATGAGGGGGAGGCCTCCCCTTGTCTAGGCCATGGTCCTGGCCAGGGTGAGGTTGGGGGGGGGGGCGGCATTGGAAGGGGACTGAAGAGACTTCCTGACCCCACCCTGACCTTACCAGTCCCCCACACTTGATTACAACATCGATGTACAATATTTCTGCAATCACAGCATCGATCCCTGGGGGCTGATGGGGACTGAGGCCCTGGTTATGGCCCAGGAACATGGAAGGGAAATGGGAAGAGAGTGGAAAGAGAGGTGGGTTAGGGCCTGTCAAGTTGAGCAGCTGATCAGTTTTTGTGCTAGGCTTACTCTCAGGACAAGTTCTGCATAGCTGCCCCTCGTGCCAGGCTGCATCTCCAGAATTCCTGCAGCCTCCAGAGTGCCAGGACAGCTTAAAGCATCCAGTTGTTCACAAAGACTCATGCTAGGAAATCTGTGGTGGGGTCTGGTGCAAGCAGACGTTTTTAACTTGAAGTTGAGTGTAAGCGCGCGCGCGCGCACACACACACACACACATACACACACACACACAGCCCAAAAATGTGACCAGCACCCAGCTTTGAGCCTCCTGGGGCAGAGGCAGGATGTAGCTAATATACACAGGGTGTGTGGTGGGGCTGATGGCCAGGGCTAAGGGAGGGCACACACCTACGCCCTCCCCAGACAGGAGGCGCACAGGAACAGGTGCCTGAGGGCAGATGAAGTCTCTCAAGGCCTTGGCCTGGCAGTGCCGAGCCTTGTGCCTTGTCACTAGTGATTATGGCCTGGGCCACACTCCCACACACACGCAAGTGCCGGCAAAGTCACCCTGGCCGTGGGCGTGATGAATGGCCGCACAGTAATGAAATGGAGACATCAAGGAGGGTGGCGGGAAGACGGAGTGTGGCGGACGTGCCGTCCCCACACGGCGGCAACAAGAAGGATCGCCCAGCGGCCGGGGGCCGTCAAGGGAGAAATTACACATTTACTCTGCCTTTTTCTTACTGCGACGGCGCCCATACATCACCGCTGGGGCCAGGACGGGACATGCTGGCCAATTTCCAGCATGAATTATGGGCCTGAGAAGCATTGAGACTGGGCTTCCTGCTGGCCCAGTATCACCCAGCCCAACTTGATGCTGAGATGTTGCCACCAGGGTCAGGGCCTCCTTCTCAAGCCTGTGGCTTCTGACTCTGACCCTGTCCCCTACCCCCTGCCCCCACCCTTAGAAAAGCAGCACCTGTAGGCAGGAGGGGAAGAACCTGGGGCCCATCTAAATGTCTTCTCTTCTTCTTATAGATGACTGCAAGAACATTGCCAACATCATGAAGACACTCGCCTACAGAGGCTTCATCTTCAAGCAGACATCAAAGCCATTCTGATTGGCCGAGGATGGGATGGGGCAGGACAGGGTAGCTGCTTGGCCCAGCCCAGAACCCTCCTCTCCCTCACACCAGAGGGGAAAAGGGAGTGGCACAGCCCTGCGCCCAGAGTGTCCCCTAGCTGCCCTGTGGGCTTGCGCCCTGGGCAGGGCTTGGCCACTTGGCCCCTCTGGAGCAGACACTTTGTGCCCCCCCACCCCCACCCCTCAATCTTGGCCCAGTATTAGCCCTATCCCATTGTGGGCCTGGGCTAGGGGGACCCAGTACTCACTGCCTCCTCCCTGGTACACAGGCTTCTGCTGGGGCCACTAGGCCCCCCCTGTGCCCCCTCCCATCCATAGTGCATGGTGTGTGGTGCCCCCAGGGCTCCAGGACAGATCAGGCCCCATCTTGTGTCTACCCCAATCCCCACTGTGAACGTGCCACTGAATAAAGTCGGGGAAAACAAGACCCTGTGTGTATATGTGTGCGTGCGTGCGTGCGTGTGTGTGTACATACATGCGCAGGGACATCTTTGTGTTCAAGGCCATTGATGTGCTAGTACCGTGCTCCCAGCTGCCTGGCTGCCTCTCCATACAAGGCCGTCAGCATGGGAATGGCCATTACAACACCTCACTGGCAATGCACAGGTCCAGACTGGGGGAACCATCTAAGCACTCTGCTCAAAGCTGATAAAGGAAACCACCTCTATGTGCAAAGCCATCTTGAGTATAAAACTACAGTTGTTGAAGGTACAGAGTTTGGGGCAATATTGGTTTGTGGTTGGAGAAGTCAGGCTGCTAAGGACCTGGGTGGGCAAGCCCTGACTACCACTTGTATGGAGTGGTATGTTGGTCCCCACCAGTCCAGCCTCCCAGCCAGGGATATCAAAAGTGCAGGAAGGGAAGCAGAAGTGGCTCAGTGCATCTCAGCAGCTCTATTTACACAATAGCACCACCCACACCCCATGGCCTCTCATGGCTTCTTGGCTTTCTTCACAGAAGATGAGCTGGAGGCTGATTCCCGTCGTTTCCGCTGAGGAGACACAGAAGAGGTTAAGGTCAATGATCTGCAAAGCCTGACTCAGGTTTGGCCCACGTCTTACTTTCAGAGAAGGTGATGCCCACTGGTCCATCTGATCTTGCCCTTGGCCTCAGCCCCTCACTGTGACCATTCCCTGCAGGTGCTGGAAGGATGGGGCCTGTACATCCTCCCGTCCATGGGAGTGCTTACCGAATTTGGCGTGAGTGGTGCGCCCACCACATCAATGATGGTATCTTTGGTGGGGTCAGGGCCAAGTCCAGGTTCCGACACCGCTGGCTCGGCAGAAGCTGGGGTTGGGCCCACTGCTGGTGTGGCTGGGCCCCCCAGCACCCCTGCCCGGGCCAGTGCCTCGTGCCGGTGCCGCAGCATCTGCAGCTCATACTCGCAGTTGGCGCAGGCCTGCTTGAGCTCGTAGAGCAACACCAGGTCACTCCGCAGCTCGTTGAACATATGTACCAGCTCCTCCGTGGGGGTAGGGCTCAGCTCTACAGGTAAGGTGGAGTACAGCTGCAGCTGAAGGTCTGTACCAGGAAGCTCACTCCCCTTGCCCAGGCTTACACAGCGGAGGGGGGTGGGAGGGGAGGTGCTGGTGTAATCCCATCCCACACTCACCCACTCCAAGCTCTAGCAGCATCTGTTCCAGGGCCTTGATTTTCTTCTGACCCACAGAGCTGGGCAGCTTCATCTGCAATGACCCAGACAGCTAAGCCCTCTCTCACACAAGAGGCTTGGGATGAAGGGGGCTAAAGGCAGTGGCCAGAGCAGGGGAGGGAGCCCCTAGGGGTATCTATGTCCAGAACAGGAACTAACCATGAAGTGTAATACAGTGGAAGCATGACCTTGGCCTGGCCACACCCCTGAGATCCTGGAAAGGCCTTCCACCTGTAGCCAACTCTGCTCCACTCCAGCCATCTGGGGACCAGCCCAAACCAAGTGACACAACTCACATACCCGCTGGCTCCGCAGTGTGACACCTGCAGACTTGAAGTCTGGAAACTTAATGCCTGCAGTCTCAGGTACAGCCTGGGGGAAGGAGTTAGGAAGATTGCTGAGGTCAGTCTCAGCAGCCCACCACTCTGGATATTCTCAGAGATCCCCACTCAAGGCGGGGTCTTGTGCCAAGAGACCCCTCCACCCTGAAGTGGCTGGCTCAGCTTCCATACCGGCTTCTCAGCCTCCTTTTTCTGGGGTAGCTTCTTCTTGGGGGCCTTGCGTTCCGTGCGCCGTTGCTCTGCTGTGGTGTCAGCTGCGGTAATCAGCTTCTGCAGGTCTTGGCTGCGTTTCTCCCGCTCCTTCTTCCGGGCCTCGATCTTACGCAGCTCTTGTAGCAGGTACTCCTCCTCTGCCACCTGCGAGAGTGAGGGATGCTAAGCGGTGTGTGAAGGCAGCCCCAGATGGAATAAGCATGGAGGGAAGAGTGCTGGGTGGGCAGTAATCAAAGGTAAAGGGATTAGGAAGGAAGTGAGGGAGAACCAGGGCTGGCAGGGGGGCTCCAGCTTGGAAGTGAGATGTGGGCTCAGCGCTGACCTGCTCGGGGGTCCGGTTATAGAGCCGCTCCAGCTGCTCCTTGCGCCGCCGCTCATGCCCAGCATCAAAGACTGGGATCTTAAGGTCTGTGCCGGGCACAGCCCGTACATTAGCAAGCTTGGCACAGATGTGGTAGTACCGCTCCTTCAGGTCCTCCACAGAACGCTTCTGAAGATCAAGATGGATGGGAGATGAACTATCAGGCATATGGAAGGCGTGGAGGTAGCACCTACCAGACTGGGAGAGCCAGGCACAAAGCAAGCGCCTACCAGCTCACCTTGAACTGCTGGTGGTCATACCGGTCATGGATAACTACAAATCGCAGGTCAAAGCGGCGGCTGAGGTCAAAGAGGTGGTCAGTCTCTGCCTTGGTCCAAGCATCATCATGGAGATACAGCTGGTACTCCTGCTCTGAATACACAGGCACCTGCACAGTCTACTGGCACACAGGGACACAGTGGTGGCATGCCCACGTCAGACCACGCCCAATAGGCTCTGGCCACACCCCCATAGCCTTTGTTTATTACCAACCTCTGAGCTGGACAAAAGCAAATCCCCTTCCTGTGCCCCTGCTGAGGGTAGCCTGCCTGACAGCCCTGGCAGGCTCTGGAACTGGGACCTTCCTGGATTTAATAAAGGAGCAATCTCATCCTATCTTCAGCTCACCCCTAGCTCCATGGTAAGATGAGGGCCTACTTGTAAACACTTCAGTGGAATCCAAAGATGAACTTTGGATTCAGGCACGTCTGGGTACCTGTCAGACAGAGAAGCACGAAGCTCCCAGTCCATAACTCGTATCTAAAGCACCACTACCACCCAGTGGTGACAATGGGACTTGCCGCTTCCTCAGAGCTTCTAGGTTGGCTGTCTATGCACCAACACATGTACTCATGTATTCATGTCAAACCTGCACTTGGCCTAACACACACCCCAACCCTAAACCCGGAGACAACCACGACTTCCACCAGCTGAGTCAAAGACCCAAGGAAGGAGTCAATGTTAGGCTGGACCAGGTAAGTTTCTCTCTTCTCTGTTCAAAACCACAACTGCTGCTGGGCACTGGTGGCCCATACCTGTAATCCTAGCGACTCAGGAGGCTGAGATCTGAGGATCTCAGTCCAAAGCCAGCCCAGGCAGGAAAGTCCATGGGACTCTTGTTTCCAATTAACCACCAGAAAACTGGAAGTGGAACTATGGTTCAAAGTGGTAGAGTGCTTGCCTTGAGCAAAAATCGCTCAGGGATAGCACCCAGACACTGACTTCAAGCTCCATGACCAAAAAAACAAAAACATATACAACTTTTCCAGCTTCCTCTCAAGACACTTCCTACTGGAGGTCCTGTCCCATATCCTACCAACTTAACATACCCAGTACTGAATTCACTGCCCTGCTTTTCAAATTCACATCTACAATGTCCTCACCCAGAGGACACTGCCCCAGCCAGAAACCCTGGAGACATTTTCAATTCCTTTCACCAAATCTGTAACTTTACCACCAAAATCTTCTATCTCCAGCCACCTCCAGGCCAGACCAACATGATCACGCACCTGGATCAGAGAAATAGCCTCCCTGCTGGTGCCTGCCTCCCTTCATCATCCATGGAGCTCCCCATCTGTCGCCAAGATGTGGCCTCTTTGCACAGTACAATTTAAAGGGTAGACTGATGTTATGTGCAGACTGCCATCACTGGTCTATGGTAAAAATGGAAATTATTTAATACCAGCTACTCCAGAGTTGGAAATAAGGAAGATTTCAGTTCAAAGCTAGCCTGGGAAAAAGCTAGCAAGACCATGGGAGTGATGGTGCATCCTTGTAATCCCAGCTGCTTGGGAGATGGAAGTAGGAAAATCTTAGTTCAAGGCCATCCCAGGAAAAACTGAAAGTCTTACCTGAAAAACAACCTAAAAGTAAAAAGCTGAGAGTATGACTCAAGTGGTAGAGCACTTGCTTAGTAAGCACAAGGCCCTGAGTTCAATCCCAGTGCTGGGGAAAAAAATGGAAATTGAGAGGGGCTGAAAAACTTTTCTATAGTAACTGTGCCGCTCAATGTACTATGAAGAGACATGGACCTGGGCTATCTTTAAATTCAAAATATGCTAAGAGCCAGGCATAGTAGTACACGCCCTTAATCTCAGTACTTGTGAGACTGAGTCAGGAAGATCACCAGTTCAAGGCCAGCCTAGTCTACATGATGAGACCTTGTTTCAGAACGAACAAAAAGTGCCTGCTTTGGCAAGCACAAGACCACGAGTTCAAACCTTACTATCACAAAAAAAAAAAAAAAGAGACATCCTCACAACAAATTGAGATGTACTGTTCCAGAATGTATCTTACCATGTCCTCTACAGTCCCTTCAAAACCTTAAAGATGATTCACTATCTCCTCAAGAGCAAGAGTTATCCTGCTCATTTTCATTTAGGGCTTAACACACCACACAGGTATCAATGACTAACCACAGAATTAAATGAGTGATAAGAGTCAATCATCTGGCTACTGGCAGCCACTGTCCCACCCAGACCCTCCATTCCAGCCAAATAACTGCAGTTTCTGGAACATATATACCAGATTCTCCCCCTCACCATTGTTCTTTGTCTTCTTACTTCACTCCTTTCCCGCCATGAAACATTCTCATTCTTTTGATAGCCTTCAGAGATCCCTCTTACACATTTAGTCCCATTCAATTTTAAAAAGCTCCAAAGCTCAAGCTAATTCTGCTCTCCAGGTGTTCACAGTGAATTAAGAAGACTTTCCTTTATTCAATCATTCATTCATGCACTCAACAGTATTTGCCTGCTATAGCTCTGCTAGGGACATGAACTATTAGCTCTGCTACTGACAGAGCTAATAGTCCAAGTAAAAACTTAAATCATTTTCCCAAAATACTAATTAGCAGCATGGCAAGTTTGATAA